AAACGCGAAAACGGCGTTTCAGAATCTTCCCACTCTGAAGGCTGAATAAAAAAATGATCGTTTACAGACCCCCGAAACGCCGGCTTCGTGTGGATGAGAGGCTGGTTTGGTGAAAAATTTGTGCGTTTAGGCCAGGGTTCGTCTTCGTGTGGACGGGGCCTGAGAGGAGCTGACTGAGGGGCTAGGACTCTGAGAGGAGCTGACTGAGGGGCTAGGACACTGAGAGGAGCTGACTGAGGGGCTAGGACAGTGAGAGGAGCTGACTGAGGGGCTAGGAAACTGAGAGGAGCTGACTGAGGGGCTAGGAAACTGAGAGGAGCTGACTGAAGGGCTAGGGCAATGAGAGGAACTGACTGAGGTACTGGGAGGACTGGCCAGTTAAAGGGCTCTGGCTTGGGGACTGGCCTGCCAAAGGGCCCTGGCCCGCCAACGGGCTCTGCCTCTGGCCCGCTAAAAGGCTCGGGAACTGGACTGCTAAGGGGCTCATGCTCGGGAGCCGTCCAACTAATGGGCTCTGGCTCGGGAAAGACTAGCAGGGAGTTGATGGAAGTGGAAGGAAAGGGAAAAAGTCCTCGTTCTCCCCATAAAATAATTCAAAAAGTTCTGATGCCTGTAGTTGGGGAGAATCTGATCTTATGATTTGTGGTTGTATGGGGCAAATAGAACTGTCCTTAGAGGTAGTGACCACAAGGAAAACTGACCTGGCTTGGTGGAGGAGTACGGTTTGCAGCAGGCTGACCCACTGGAGAGTCAGTGGCAGCGACAGTTTGACCCATCAGGAAGGAAGTGGCAGTGTCAGTCTGACCCGCTCAAGAGGCAGCATTTTTCTGCCTGTGCTTGGAAGCAGAGGGCAGTGGGGGATTAGCAGAAAGTGAAGCAGGTAAACAGGTGAGTGATGGTTTGGCTGATGGAAGTTGATTGAGCAATTGAGCAGCAGCGGTTTGTTCCATTCAATCTCCTCAGAAGGGTCAGTTATTTCTAGGGTGGCAAGGAGTGGGGAATTTGGGAGAAGAATTTTCTTTAGTTGGCCAACTGCTCTCACCCTCTTCCAAGGCGGGCTGAGAGTGGCAATAGCGTCCAAACATTCCTTAGATTCAGATAAAAGTTTGCTTTGGAGTCCACCAGACTGGCCTCTGCAGGTTCCATTATGGCTGGTTTCTTCTGTCAGGATTTGGTGGAAGTTGGTTGAGGACCCAAATGCAGAGATGAGGGGGCAGAGATGGGTTCTTGCAGATTAAATAAAATTTCAAAGGCAACAGAAGCAAAGTCCAAAAACAACATACAGAAAACCCAAAAAATTGGAGGCAATAGAGAGAAACAAAACATGGTAAGCAAAGCAATGAAGCAATGAAGAGAAAACAGCAAAGAGTAACTGAACAGGTTGTGTGTGTATATATATATATATATATATATATATATATATATATATATATATATATATATAAATATGAAAGACCGAACAAAGAGTAGGGTAATAGGCTGATATGGAGCAGGTGTGGATAGAAGTGACTAGAAGGGAGGCAAGGGGAAAGGAAACTGGCACAAGGAGGCAACAGAGAGTAACACAAAAACACAACACTGCCTGAAAATAACAAAGACGCAAAATTACAGAGAAACTAAAAATAAACCAAAACAAAGGGCTGGACCCTGACAGAAATAGGTTGGGAGTAAGGAGTGTGGGAATGAAAAATCAAATTAAGGTAATGATGATTTATTTTCTGTTTATCTCAGTTGCTCCAATGTGTAAAGTATTTTAATATAATGAGATCTGTTGTCTCCCTTTGCAGCTCTCTTTACCAACTCCAGGGCTGGATTTAAACATAGGAAAGGTATTTAAAATAGCTTAAAAAGTGTGGATTATCAAATAAGCACAGCAGGCATCAAAAAATTTAAGTTGGTACTCAGAAATGAACTAAAAACTCTGCTAGATAAATAATGTCTTACTTACTGTTTGTTACATGTACTCTTAAGAGGTTCCAAGTTTTCAGGAATATTTCAATGTGTTTTTCATACCACATCTTTATCTCTGATCCTGAAAAATAGTAAGGAAAAAAAGTATTTTACAATAATTTTAAAACAGTGAGTCAATAAGGTTTGTAATTGTTAGAAATTTGAAATTTGTAATAGTATTCTTTATAAAATACTCAAAATGTACCTTTTTGAATATTTAGGAATTCAGAAATGGAACCCACAATCTGTTCAGGGGCATTCTGGAACTTTTTCACCAAACGGTTCTGCAACTTTACTATATCTGGTAGAAACGATATCTGACGATATTCTTTCTCCTTAGAAAAAAAAACAAAAAAACGATTCCTGAATAAAAACATTTTAAATTTGATTACAATCCTCTTTATTCATAATCTTAACCTACTGTATAAAAAAATGACTACTACCCCTTGTCAAGATGACCGTCTTTTTACAGTCTTTTACTGAGTTTTACAAAGTTTTGGGTTTGCCTACTGCACAACTAAATTAAGCAGACACTGATTCAACAAACTTCTATGAAAATAATGTAAAGTAAAACTTTGAAAAAATGTAATTCCACACTAAAGACTTTTTATTTTTGTCAGTGCTGGCACATTTTTTCGATCTGCATCAAACAGATCCAGCTGTCAAAGTAAATACAAATATTCTTTTCTCTTAAAATTTGTTTTGTGTTACACAATCACCTTCTGGAGGAACTTCCAGAGCAGTGGCAGATCATCTTTTTGTTCGCTGTACTCTATGATGTGTGTGAGGCTAAGCAATGACAGCCTCTCCCTGCAGCTCCACACTGCAGAATTGTGAACTTCAGATGTCTGCTGCAGCGATTTGAGGAATTTACAGTCATCACCAAAAGCCGTCCTCAGGATAAAGTTAGAAGATACACGGGAGTCATTTGTGATGTGGTCCTTTGCTACTTGCAGGAGTTGATCAACAATCTAGACACATAGATATGTGTAGTCAATAAATTTGCCACAACAAGGAAATCAATCTGGTTAAAAAACTAAAACATATACTAACATCTCATAAGTGGTTTCTTTAAAGCAAACGATGCTTAATTTTTATACTGTCCAAAAAGCCAGCTAAGGGGTTTTGTGATGTTGGCTGTAATTTTATTATCATCTGTCATGATCTGGCCTGTTTGCTCTCACTTAATTGGTAATTCCTCTCACCTGCCCTCTTCCTTCCCTGCCTCAATTATAATTTATTCCTCTCACCTGTTTCCTCTGGTTTATATTCAGTTCAGCCTGAGCATTCAGTGCCAGATCATTGCTTGTCTCTCTGTCAGTCTTTCTGTTCAGTTTTTATTTGGTTCATG